AGTGTCAACCATCAGGGGGGCACCGGCCCCTTTAGGGGGGGATGTGCACCCCCATGCACTCCCTACCAGTCACCTATGCTAAAAGGTTTACAGTTTCTATGGTCAGCAAGTAGGGAGTTTATGGTGAATTTAAGGCCAATAGTTAGTATTAGGGCCTAGGCTAAGTGACCGGATCCATTGTGCCTGGATGATAAATATTGGCACATATAATCCAAAGTCTTGTGGACTGGATGCACAGGGTTAAGAATCTATTAGTGTTCCTAGCACAATAGTTTTCAACCTTTTTATAGTCAAGAGACCTCTCAATAGATTCAAGGTGCCCACTGGCAATTGTCAGCTCTTAGTTTTATCTTGATTTTTGACTGCAGAAAAATAATAAAGCCATCTTTCCTTCTGAATTCAAATGAACTCAGAAAGTCCTCAACAGTTCAGAATGGTTTTAACACTATGGATTTCTATTTTAAATCTCTGGGTTTATCTTCTAAATCATGCTTGCATACCTAACATTGGCCCCGTGAGTGTGGGTGAGTGAGGAGGCCCAGTGGAGGCATAGTGGCCCAGCGAGGGGCCAGGAGCAAAATAGGCCTATAGCTGTAGAATCGCTCAGTCAGCGCTCAGGTGAGGGTAGCAGGAGATACCCAACAGACTGCGCTAGGTGAGACTGGGGGGATGTGTGTGGCCCCTGAGAGAGGGCAGTATGAAAGAGGCTGGGTGAAAGCCAGCAGCGTGAAGGGGACCCCGATGAGAGAGGGGTAGCATGTGAGGAGCCCTCTTTTCTCTGGGGCTATAGAAAAGAGCTACAACTGTGTGCCCAGTTTGCTCTGGCCAGAGGCTGGAGGAGTAACACCAGAGTAACATCTGTGACGCATGGGACCCATGGAGGGAAGGTCAGAGTGGGTATTAGGGCCTTGTCAGCTGGGTGAGTAATGGGTAGCCTCCCGCCTTAGTAACAAGTCTTATATTTTTCCATCAAGACATGGTAGATGAACAAAGTGTGCAGTTACCCCAGAAGCAGGGTGGCCAGCAGAGACCTGACGAGGAGGCCACCCTGTTACACAGAGTCTTTCAGAATTCACTGCTTCTGGGGTATATGCTGGGACTGTGGGACAGGGATCAAAGAGAGCAGCTAAAGTAGCTGAGCACAGAACCAGTGTTAACATGGAACAACCCTGCAGCAATTCAGAGCACATATTGATATGACCTGTGCGGTCACATTACATCGTGTAATTTTCATTTGGGCATGCTTCAACTTCCCAGTGGAGCTATGATTATTAGTAAAGTTAATAAGTTAAGGGTTAGATTCCACTGGTCTCTTCAGAATTCCCACAGTTTGCTTCTACTCACTTATTTGCTTGCCTTCACTATGATTGTAGTTGTATTAGAGATCCAGTTGCCAACAGTTCTTCTTTGACATGGGGACAATATAATTCCATTCTTCTCATATAGATGTCACATTAATCAGGTCTTTGAATATTTGTTAAAACTGCAAATGCACTTCAGGCTTTAGCACAGTTTGGGAGCAGGTTCTTTGAAGACATTTCTGGTATTTCCTGGTTCCAGTGAGACTGAAAAGGCTATGAGAATGTAGTCACTTTTGGTATTTGGTGTTGGTACTTCCATTTATGGGCATATATTAATTCAAGGAAATAGAGGGAGGAAAAACAAGTTAACTGGATTTCTTCTTCTCTCGGATTCCTCTTGGGATTTTGGGTAAAGCCTTACATTGGTATTTCAGCCCAACTGGCTGGACAACTTTTCCTTGTTTAACAACTTCCACATGCAGGCATATAAAGTCTAGCATAATTGATTTAAAAACACATTTTAATTTGCTTCTAAAAAAGGTTGGGAGTCAGTTGTAGTGTGCAGAAGCAGGAAGGTGGCATTAAGTTTTGTGCTGGGGTGGCATATTCCTCTTCTTTCATGTGCTTTATGTCTTTACTTTTTGATATAACAGTGAGAGTGCTTTCTTAGAGCACTGGGTTTCATAAAGAAGTTACACTACAAGGATGCAAATGATCTAACTGGTGTTTCCTATTTCTAGTTAAATGTCCAAAAGCCAATTTTCTCAATAGAGTCCCTTTCTTTGTGAGTCAAATAACTGGCTTCTGTCCAACGATTTATTTGTTCCTCTGTGGTTACAGATCATTAAAAGTGGCTCATTCCTGAGGAGTTTCTTAACTGGTGTCTTCTGGATGTTTGTTAGTTACGAGGAATCTGACAAAGTTCCATCTGGAGAGTAGTGGCTGCCTCATATGAAAGGGATATAGTCCATGTCTGCTCACATCTGTATCATGTTAGAATGCTGAGCTGCAAATCCATGTAAATGTGTTGTGGTTGTCCATGGTACAAAATACTGAAATAAGATAACTTACAGTTTTTGACAAGTTATTTGACATTCTGGCTGTCAGCCATGTATAACTCCTTTTGAAATGGCTAATTGAGTGGCGTTCATTAGAGTTCATTAAATCAGCCTCAAATATGGTGCTTTACTTCAGCGTAGCTGACCATCCATTTTAAGGAGTTTCTTGTGGAATGGTTATGTTTAAATACAATAAACAAAAGACAAGGAAAATGCTACCACAGAAAATCCATGTGGCCAGCACTCTCAGGAGTAAACATTTTTTTTTTGTTTTATTTTCTTTTATAATCTTAGCTCCGGGAATCACTTCCCAAACTGTGGTCATTGTAACTTGTTGGTTTTAAAGGGGCCTAGCTCCGTTTAGGTTGAATTATGCCCTAAAATTCCTTTTATCATCTTTCAATTCTTTGAAAATCTTCTTTTGCAGGTCTCTCAACTGTAGGTGTGAAGAATGAAAGCAAGGGACAGCACTGAGATAGGCAGGCCTACAATTTTACCCAGAGTGTCTATTAAGACATTGTTGTCTTGCTTCTGGATATTGCATGCATTTTAACCAGAGACTTACAACAGGATGATAGATAATGACAATTTGAGGAGACTGCAATAATACATAGATGATATAAATTTCTCTACTGACATGAGTGCACTCACCGGTACAACAGTGTGTCATAATCCTGTGTTTTTGTGCCAGAAAACCATAGTTTGTCTTGGGGAAAAAGGATGGCAGATCTTTTTATGTTACTGTTACTCATGAAATTATTGACTTGGTAAATAATACCAAGGAGGAGATCAACAACCTGATGAGCTGTATATAATATGCAACATGCTTACTGATTATAACTTACAGCGAGACCATTAGGTGTTCCCTGGAATGTGGTAATATAGTAAATGGATGACCATTCCTAGCATTAACTTTTTGCTACATTTGAAAATAGTGTTGTTTTTACCCAGAAAACTCTAACAATATCAAACATCAAACTTCTGGGCTATTAATCCCATCCATCATGCCTCCTGTACCTAACTCAGCTTTTCACTGTCAAATTCTTAGACTGTGTACAAGGCCAGCTATGTTTGCAGTCCACATAGATTTTATCACTCTTGAGAGTAGAAATGACAATTCTACTATTATTTGGAGGTAGACCCAACATAGGCTTTGATCAAACAGTCATGCTTAAGGGTGAACAAAACTTCTGTTATGTTCAAAACCTGCAAGAAAAAAATGGGGAGTCTCAGGGAGTATTAGAGGCAGAGGTTACCCAAAACTATTTCAAATCGACACAGAAAACCACTTCTTCATACCAGACAAACTCTTCATATTTCTGAGAGGAAGAGGAAATACTTCCAGTGTCTAGTGAAGTCACTGAAAAGAAGTTAATTCATTTCAGTGGACTTTATTTTAGGTCTTAGATGTTGGTCGTTAGACCTGGTGGGATGCTGAGTTGTTTCAAATGCTACTTAGAATCAATGGACATTGAAGGCGAGGTGGACAATATTTTTTTCAGTCAACATTCTTCCACTTAACTACCACCAGGAAATTCCAGACTGATCTTGTTTGCCTGAAAGGATTTCTTATTGAAGGCTACCTGGTTTCTATGAACAGAACCGAATGTTGCCACTGTTGATGTTAATTTAAGATTCCATGGTTCCTTCCCTTTATAGCTTAGGAAAGAAATGCCTATTACTTTAATGAAGGAGCTAACACAGGGGTGATGTTAATGGCTAATACTGGGGTATAGGGGAAAGTGACTCAGCTTTTCCTGAACTCTATTTTGCTTCCTCAAGGTAATTTTTAGGATTCTACCCTGGACCTAAGTATTACAGTGCTTTTCATCAAAGATTACAAACATTGTAGAAAGGGAAGCTATCATTATTACAAACTGCTGTTTACAGGAGGGAAACCAGGGCACTAAGAGATGAAGTGACTTGTCCACACGTTCTAGGCAGGCTTGTGACAAAGCTAGGAAAATAACCCAGGCCTCCCAAGTCCCAGTTTCACTGTGCTATCCACCAGGCCACACAGAGGGCCTATAAGCAGAACTCTCTCTGATTTTTTCAATGGGAGTTTTGACAGACTAAAGGGCTTTTGGATTTGACTCCAGAATGAAAAACTGTTTCCATTTCATAATATTTTAAAAGGTATTTTCCATAGTGTATCTCCAACAAAGTTGTAGAAAAAAAAAACTTGTAGTAACACTGAACAGCTTGCAATGATGTTGCACAGCTGATGCTGAGACGATATGGTGGCAAGCATTGGATTGAAAAAAAACCCAGACAGCTCTAGTTTTAAGCCAGCTTGTTATGCGTGTCATAGTTACAGATGACTCTTAATAGCACAACATTGAGTTCAGCTCTCCAAAACCTAGCCCACTTCCATTTAGTTTGAAACAGAAAAACTCTAAATGATGTTATATGTATCTTCACTACCAGTGATATATTAGCTGGTGAGTTCTCTTTATTGGATTGGAACATAGGATGGTAAATCACCATGGTTTCTTCTCAGTGTTACTTGTTTTTCAACACAGAACACATCCACCACTGACTTACGTGACAAAACAAATCCTTTTTTGATGAGTATGTAGGAAAGTAATATAAATTACCCAAGTGTTAGAAATGAAGGGTAAATGAAGTTCCAAGTCATTTATATAAAAAATATAATACTTTATTTCCAACTAAAAAGGTGCAAACATGTAACTTTTGGTCACACTTCTCAACAAATAAACAAACTGTTCAAAGAACAGCAATAGTCAAAGAAAGAAACAAATTCTCCCATGTGGAAAGATTGGTCAGCTACAAAAACAATTTACTGACTTTACTTAAGGTCACTTGCATACTAAAGCTGAGGTAACCATATTTTTCCCCATACACATGAATGCTACCAAGGACAGAAGCACCTCAACTGTAGCAAGTAGTCTCACCGTCACCTTAACTGAACAATTTCCACTAGAGTATCTATTTCACGCTTTGAATGCATTGTCAGACAAGCCTTACATCCTACCTATCTTGTTCCAAAAGAGGAGGCTATCATTAAAATACCAAAGCATTAACAAAGGCACAAAACTTTAAATTAATTTAGATAACTGTACAAATATATATACAGTATTTACAATATTAATAAAAAGTAGCTTGTTACAGGTAAAGTAACTGTCACAAGCTGTCCAGTCTAATAGACATGATTCTGATTCTTCTTGAACAAGTCATTTGAATCAGTGTCAAAGCTGATACATTTACTGTCCTGACTAACAGAACACCTTCTACTTAGCACCTTGCTGGGTGAGGATTTACATTCCAGCTGTCACTGCCAATATCCCAGTGTCAGCAAACATGCTAAGGGTCTCCTTTTCCATTGCACTACTAGGTGGAACACACAGTACCACACCAAGGGAACACTGCTTGAGAGCTGCTCTTCCTGCAAATGGCCCCTAGCAACCCCTAAACAACACCTCATGAACAGCATTTTCTGGATCTTGTGCTTTGCTGTGGTCCCAAGGTCCATTTTACCCTCTTCTTCAAACCAAATGTTTGGGGTCAGTAGACAATTTGTCTTAAAAGTCACGTGGAGCAAGTTTGTTGAACTTAAAAAAAAGATTTAAATACCTTGTGCTATTGAATCATGTTTACAAAAAAAAAAAAAAATACAAAAAAAATGAGATGCAAAAAAAAAAACAGTTCAAGTTGAAAGTCTCTAGCTTGTCTCCTTCTGGCTTTATGCCATGTCTCCATACATCTTTCTGTAGTACAGAGACTCAAAGATGTCATTGTCTCCAGGGCAGTTGTAGTGGCATGCACAGGTCTTGATGAACATCATTCTCCTCTTCATGACCTCACCGTCAGGGCACTTGAACTCCACAGGCAGAGTGGCTGTTCTGTGGGGGGTACAGCAGCGCCCATCAGTGCAGACACCACAGAATTTAGCCCTGTAGGTCTTCACGCTGGTGCAGCCAGAGAGCTCGAACTTGATGGGCTTGGAGATTTTGGGGGTGCGAATGCACTTTTTGCCTTTCTGTTAGGAAGTAAGTGAATGACATTATTTTATTTTTTTAGAAGCCAGGCATTTTTAAATAGCAAAACTAAATCTGTACATTTTCCATTCATATTTCTATCTGCTAAGTTAATCCTGTCACTTTATTCATAGCATTTAACTCACTCATGAGACATTTTCAAGAGCCTGTATTATCATTATTTAGGCTGGACATCTAAAGTACATGTGCTTGCAGGATTCAGACAAGACTTGGGCAGATCTGAAAGCTGTCTCCTCTCAGCCAAGTATTATGCATCTTGTTTAGCACTAGGCCTATGCCAGGAGATGGGGCATCCTCTTACTTAGCTGCATGTAGACTGAAATATTTACCTTGATGTTCTCCTCCAGGTCTACTTCACAGGGTCGGACCATACAGAGCCTGCTTTGCTTCTCCAGTCTGCAGAAGGCATTGTCATTGGTGACCCTGGTGGAGATGCCCATTCCACAGGTCTTAGAGCAAGCGCTCCATTCGGTGGTCTGGACCAGGCAGTTGGCACGCATCATGGTTGGGTCAGGACCATATGTATCCTCCAGTCGGTAAGCTGCAGAGCCCAAATAAACAGGATGAGAGGCTGGACCTCAGGGCATCAGTGCAAACAAGGAACACCATGATCCTCTCAGACACTCTACAGACCTCTGAGGTCACTTATTCTGGCAGCTCCAGTGCAATGCCAGCACTGCCCCAGGGATGAAGCTGGTCTGCTGGGGCTAATCATCCCGGCACCGACTACCTTGATGCCTGAGCTACAAGCCGAAACCCCAACTCACCAGCTAGGGCTGGTCCCACGGCTGTCCGCTCCTTTGGCTCATCACACACCCACTCCTCGCAGCACTTGCCAGGGAGCTTCACCCGCCGTGGGTAGGGGCAGTCAGGGCTGGGCAGGCGTACGTCCATGCTGCACAGGGGCACACAGCCCACCGCCCCATCCAGGCAGGTGCACTGGTACTTGCAGCTGCTCTGGAAGGACTCCCCGCTCCGATACACCATGCCGCCAAATACACAGGGGGCTCCATCCCGGGCTGCCAGGAGGAAACGAGAAGGTATTAGCTGGGCACCCAAGCACCTGCTGCTTTTTGGGCTGGGCTGAGTGAGGCCAGGAGGTGGCTGCTGGGGGATGCTAGAGTCATACGAAACAAAGGCTGGAAGGAAGCTCATGAGAGCATCTAGTTCAGGTGTTAGGTCTTGCATTGTGTCAAGCTTGAGGAAGAATTTATGGATCACATGGATGGTTTGGATATGGCTGATCCTGCCTCAGGCAGGGGGCTGAACTAAATGACCCCCTCCCTTCCAACCCTGCTGGTCTATGACATGGGCTGCAGTGGTTGTCCTGCTTTTCCCTGTGGCAGCTTGGGGTCCTGCTCACAGCAGGACCAGCCCCAGCTATAGCCCCCCAGCCAAGGTTTTATCTCTGTTGGTCTTAAAAGGATGGAGACGCCACCACCTCTCTGGGTCACCTGCTCCAGTGCTTTACCATCCTCCCAGCCAGGACGTTTTCCCTGATCTCTCACCTAAGCTTCCCCTGCTGCAATGCGAGATACCCACTCCACCCACAGCTGCTGCCATACCTGGCTCAGCTCCCCGCA